TTTTTTTTGTTGTTATATATTATATATACATACAACTGTCCAGATGACCTGACTGAACGTTGTTGGATTTTATACCTGGATTATTGAGCATGGACTTTGGTGTTTTGAAGCAGATTGACATGACTGTCGACGAGGGAAAGGGCGGGCCCCGGAGGAGACGGTGTGCCCCAGAGGCCATCTTAGCACCAACATAACTGTTGTTTTCCACTTTGGAGTATGCTGTTGGTGGATAACCAGTTTTGTTTGGTGTTACCTCGAACTGATGAAGCCTTTCGGATGGAAGGCGAAATGTCTCAGCACAAAAAAGAAACCATCCAGATGACCTGAATGAACGTTGTTGGCACTGTACACATGTTCAACCAAAACCTCCCTAGAGTTGCAGTCTGCTGCTACACTCCTGACTGGATCTTCAAAATTTTGCCATACAACTCCACTTCCAGCACGGTGGTGCAACTGGTAGAGCTGCTGCCTCTCAGCGAGCAGGTTAACTTGGTTCAAATCCTGGTCCGGGGGTCTTTCTGGGGGGTGGACTTTGCATGTTCTCTCCGTGCATGCGTGGGTTTTCTCCTCCGGTTTCCTCCCACAGAACAAAAACATGCATGTTAGGCTGATTAGTAACTCTAAATTGTCCCTAGGTGTGAGAGAGAGTGTGAATGGTTGTTTGTCTCGTTTGTCTCTATGTGTCTCTGTGATGGACTTGAGCCTGTCCAGTGTGTCCCCTGCCTCTCACACAGTGATGGCTGGACATGGGCACCAGCGACCCCCGTGATCCGAAAATGAAGAAGCGGGTAAAGATAATGGATGGATGGATAACTCCACTTCTAAAGCAACTCCATTGGCTCACAGTTCATTATCGAGTGGATCTCAAGGTTTTAGTTTTGACTTGGTGAGCTCTGCATGGACAGACACCAACTTACATCTCAGAACTTTTACATCCCTACACCCCTATCAGGGCTTTGATGTCCTGTGATTAAGACCTGCTCATTGTCCAGACCAGGGATCTGCAATCTTTGCAATTAAAAGAGCCATTTTTGTCGATTTGCTTACTAATTATAATGTCTGGAGCCGCAAAACCTGCTACAACTGTACTGTCAACTGGTGGCCCTCTGCAGGCCTATGTGAGTTCTCTTAATTGTTGAAGAATTAAGTATCCTACTTAAATAATAAAGTTAAAGACAGTATAAAATTAGGCCAGCTTGTTGGATATCCAGTTACATTTTTAAAGAAAAATAAATACTCATTTACTTCGACTTTGTTTTTTCTGTTTTATTCTTAGTGTTATCAAATATTCCTTCTCAGCAGCTTGTCTTAAAGATATTCCAAAACATTCTGGTGGTTTTGAGAGAAGGATCACACTGTGAGACTGGAAGTGGACTTAAAGTGTCTAACAAAGTACTAGCATGATGTAGTCCACATGTTTTACGTCTTGTATTTGTACTATTCTTCACATATTTGAAAATGTCAGGAAATCTGCTAAAGTAGCCATTTTCATTGTTGACAATAATTTAAATAAAATTCAGTTTTATTTTAGTTTTGGTCAAAGCCTGAAAGGGCCGCTGCAGAGAGACCGAAGAGCCACATGTGGCCCCAGATCTGCAGGTTGCAGACCCCTGGTCCAGCCAGACAGAGCTTTTTCTTCTGTGGCTCCAAGACTCTGGAACTCCTTCTTCAAACTCTCTGATTAGTGGACTCAGTGGATTCATTTAAAGTCCATCTAAAAACTTTTCTTTTTAAATCTGCTTTTGCTTACATTTGTTTTGTGCTTTTGTTTATTTTGTTTGTCGAAACACTTTGTGATTATTCTCTTGAGGAACCTTTGTAGCAGCTACCCAGTCACCCTATCAGGAATTTACATCCATGTCACCAGAGTGTCTCCACTGTGAGTGACGAATGATATCTGCATACGCATCTAGCTTGTTCACAGTGGGAGCTGCAGAAGCCATAGCACGCAGTTTTACATCAGGAGAAGGGGGGAGCAGGTGAGGCATAGGCGTCGCAACCATTATATGTGAAGAGGACGTGTCCTCCCCACATTAAAAAAAAAAAAAACGTTCATTTGGACCCCTCCACTTTTACTATAAAACATTAGTTCAAGCGGCGCAGTTTCTCTTTCTTCGTGAACAAATCCATTCCACTTGATTAATGGGAGAATACTCAAACCACTAAAACGCCACTCCAGGTTTTCCTGGTTACCTCCAACTCTCCACTAGCCTACAACCTGCAGTCTTTCTCATTTACGTCTCCTCCTGCTTCGGCTGAGATCGCTCACAGGTGGAGGAGATGGAGACACCTCTGTGTTGCTCACTCGCCAGTTTAGCAGCTTAGTGCGGGCAGTTGTTGACCGGGGGGGTTGATCATAAACATATAGACATGGTTAGGATGATGCTTGAGAGAAGGGGAGCGCTACGTCTGTAGCATCTTAGCAGTAACTGTGACGCTGTAAGACGCTGCAGGTGTAAGAGACGCTGTGTGTTCAGGTGCATTAAAGTTGAAATGTCTTTAAAACCCCACACCTTATTGTCCTCAAACTTGGTGAGAAACATCATTTAGATGAGTAGTGTTGAACACAAGTAAAAAAAAAGTCCAGTGGTGATGTTTTTTATTTCTCTATAAACACAAATAGTGCCGATCTGAAGTGCATTAAAGTTGAAATGTCTTTAAAAACAGAAGAATTTACACAAACATGGTGAGAAACATGCTTTAAATAGAATTAAAGTCAGGAAACCTAGATGAAATGTTGCTTTTTTTGTACACTGTACAATTTTTTGCACACTGGTGCGCGTGCGTGCGCACACACATGTGCACGCACACACACACTATAGTGTCCCCCCCACATTACAGATGCTTCTGACGCCCATGGGGTCAGGAGCTGGGTTTGTATGCAGTGAGGGAGAGGAGGAAGGGCCACATGAAGTCGCAGACTGGGAGAAAAACTAGCAGATTTTCAAGTATAGTTATAACTGTAGAGTATGAGACTATATCATTTTATATCGATATAGTCTCATTTTATATCGCGTATGAAATTATCTCGATATTTTAAAAATATCAAGATATCGCCCAGCCCTAGTTAGTACTATCATTCACATGTTGGCAAAATAAATGACTGGAAAACTGCTAAATTAGCCACTTCTTGTTGTTGGTACAACCAATAAACTTCAGTTTTATGTTAGTTTTGGTCAAAACTTAGAGCCACTGCAGAGGAACCAAAGGGCTGTATGTGGCTCCAGAGCCGCAGGTTGCAGACCCCAGAACTAGGCAATGGCAACATTTTAAACAAAGACCTTGTGCAACCTGTTAGCGCTCAGAATATGGGTTGGGGATCAGTCTCAGCTACTACCACAACAAACTTCGGTCAATTTCTGCAAAATTGGCTGAGCTAAAGCCCAAGATTACTTTCTGCATGTTCAATTAAATGCTTTCTGTTGATTAGTGAGATATTTTAACAACAGACAGACATAGGTTATTATCGTCTGCCTTTCAGTGAGTGGCGAGTGATAATAATCCCACAACAGTTATACCAGCAGCATTTATTAGAAGTTTTAAAACCCCTCTGAGACATTCTGATGTCTTACTTTAGCGAAGCGACAAAGGCGCAGTGCGTCCTCCCAGCGTGCTGATGTGCTGTACTCGTGCAGGATGGCGGCGTACGGAGGTACACTGCTGTACACCAGCGAACCGTCTCCTCGGCGTAACGTCACTTTAGTGCCGACGTAGTTCAGTATGTGGGGGGCACGGCTGAACTCACTTTGCACAAACATGTATACACGAGTTAGAACAAAAAAGGCATTCTCACATTTTGCCACAAAAAACTCAGAAGTGAACTTCTGCATCTGCAAGTCCTGAGAACGTAAGATGGTAAAAGTGCTGAAAACAAAAAGATTAAAAAACACGGAGCGTTCTGCCACACTTCATGATACAAGCACCAACATTTGCATAAACAATGCCTAGGACCTATGTTTTTTTAAATAAAATCCCAATGTGCACCTGAAAATAAAAAATGGTAGCCATTTTCCAACATGGCTGCCATTTTGCATGTGAAAAAGTTATTTTTCTTCGTAAAATTTGAATGGCTTAGTCATTCAGACAAAACTGAGTATTGAGGCAGATGTAAAGGCTGTGGTTTGGTCTCGAGTGCACACAGATTTGAGCACGCAAACGTGATGAGTAGAGCCTAGTAGTTATGAGTCACTGTCAAATTTTCAATGGCAGGTTTTGAGCGATCAGTCAAAAATCATGAAATATTTCTAGTGATAACTGTTTTCATTTATAAACCTCACAAGACATTCAGTTCTCTTACTTATGGTATCAAAATATGTTTGAATCCACAATTTATAGAATAACTGACATTTGTAACTCCATAATTGAATTTAGCATGCTAGAAAAACCTATATTTATATGCAAAGATTAGGAGTTTTCAATCATTCAGTCTCAATTCAGGTCAGAACAACAATAAAAAAACTTCTGAAGGTGGTCATCGGCTATTGTTTCTATAAATGGATCCTGCGATTTGTGGAAAATATAGGTCCAGGATATTATTTGTGCCAAATTGTATGCTTGTATCACAAAGTAAAAGATTGTTTGACTAATCTTTAGCACTAATGTACATCATTTTACAGTTTAGCAACAGCTGGTGAAAATAAAAAAGCAAGAACTACCAAAGCAGCTTCCAGCTCTTGTTTCTTAATTTTTGAGTTGTTGCTTGACAAATTTTGCTGTAACGTTTTAATATTTGAACTATAAACTCTAGAAGACTTTAAAAGGTTAAATAGATAGTTCCACTCTTTTGAAGTGGGCTTCAGTGGAAAGTCTGAAAACAATATCTTATCTGATGTAGATAGCTCTTATTGATAGTCTTAATTTGAAGAAAGAGTTTAGGTTTGACTGGACTGATGCTACAAGCTAGACTAAGACCAAAGTGAACTGGTGCCGTTTTAAAACATCTGCAGGCTCTACAATTTATTTTACACAATACCGTAATTTACGGACTATTGAGCGCACCTGAATGTAAGCCACGCCCAAAAAAAAAAAAAAAAGCGTACATAATGCTTGTCTATATTGTAAGCCGTGGGTGTCCACACTGTAACATGAGATATTTACACAGAAATATTTTTTTAACTTTTAACGAAATATGTACCGGTAACATACAGAAATACGTACAGTAAATACTTTTTTCTTAACAGTGCCTGTAACACAGCTGGTAAAAAAATAAATAAAATAAAATTAGCCTACCAGGAAGTCATTGATCACTATGTAGCATGGTTTATTTTAATTTTGTTTTATATACATTTCATTTTATATGAATGTTTATTGTTGTGTGTATCTCATTTATGTTTTTTGTTTAAAACTGGTCTCTCTTGTAAATGAGTCCTCGTGACTCAATGAGACTAACCTGTGTAAATAAAGGTTGAATGAATAAATGAAGCTTAATTTTCCTCCTGCTCACTGTGCCTTTGAGCTTGTGCTTTCGAGTGGCTGCAAATAATTTGTTGGGGGCACAACGGGGAGGGGAGGGAAGAACAGGGAGTAGAGCAAAGAAACCAAGTTTCAGTGGTCTACTGTGACCTGTTTGGTAATTTCATTGGTCAGATTTTGTTTTTTAACCTTTATTTATACAGGTAGTCTCACTGAGGCATGAGGACCCACTCCCCAAGAGACATGTATTGGGCAGCTGTGAGTGCCTGCCTGGGCGTGACGAGACTAAATGTTTTGATGACATGAAACTCGTTAGCCCGTCAAAAATAAAAATAAATAAAAAAAATCCATTAATTAGCTGCAGCATTGTATAAGACGTGGTGTTCAGAGAGTGTGAAAAAAGTAGTGGCTTATAGTCTGGAAATTACGGTAATTTTGACATAAATATTACAATATTGTTTCCTGATGTGTTTCTGGCTAGACTGTAAAAGCTGCAGCAAACTGATGTTGCTATTTGCACTTACAAAAAATATAAAGGAGATACTGACATAGTGGTTTAATTTTTTGTTTGTTTTTTGTTTTGCATGAACTGCTGCAAACCTTTTGAGAGCAGAGCTGTTTTAAAGTGGCAGCAAACCACTGGTTTGGACTCCTCTGTACTAGCCGTTAGCTCATCAGTTGAAAATACACATTTTTCTGTCTGATCTAAGTTGTCCAAAGAGCTATCTACAGCAGGTAAAATACTAAATGTTCATAACCTTTTCACAGAACCCTTCAAAAATATTTGAACTATTACTTTAATATAACCCTATGGCAAAAGGCCTAGCCCACACATCTTTGTAGTGAACAACAGCAAGGATTTTGCCTATGAAAAATACAAACTGTTTACCTGTTGTCCTTGATGAGTAGTGCTTTTGATAGCAGCTCTTTGTCGGTGAAGACAACACTCGGGTGGTACCACACTGTGAACTGGTTATCCTGGAGCCCACATAAGATGTTTGCAGAATCATTCCACGCCATACTGTGAACCATGCTGCCTATGAGATCGAACACACACCCTCTGTTAGGTGCACGCATGTATAAAAACTGTTACTACCCGGTACACACACACTGAGGAAAAAGTCAGTTCCGTGCTGCTTGTCTCACCAATTTTGCAGACTTTGGGTTCTCGCCCCAGATGACGCACAGAGGTCAAGTGAAGGTCACGGTTCTTGTCTGTCAGAGCAATTTTTCTGTCACTGGACGGGCCACACTGATCCAAAGCTATCTCCAAAACCTCCATCTACAGAAATACACACAATGAACAAAGATAAAAGGGTGGAGAGGAGGAAAACTGAACAAAAGACCAGAAAAAAGGTAGAAGCCAGGTTATAGTTTGCTTCACAACCTGTCTGCTAAATTTAACCGTGTATCTGTATGTAAGTGACAAAGTGGAAATATGTGTATATGAACCTTTTTGGTCACAGTTTGGGGTGTTTTGTATCTTTGGAGTCCTGTCAGTAAAAACCAGGCAGAAAACGATAATTATTGCTGTGACTTTTTATTTTATTTGATTCTAATTATTTCCCTTTTGTATCCCTTTTCCTCCAACAGTTTGGTTTTTCCAATTCTTTCTTCCGTCTTTGCTTGACCATGTGCTCATCGACGTTTAATGCAGAAATTTATCATACTATACAAAAAAACAAAAACAACAAACAACACATCACACTTGTCATTTGACATGGGAAGATGTACCTATTACCTACTTTCTGTACAGGGAAGATATAAACCACTTTATTCTTATTTTATTTATTTATTGTTGTTTCAGTGTTTTGACTATGACTGAGAGAGCTCTGCACAAGAATTTCAATGTACCTCGATTGTTGGTCTGTGCACATAAGGAAAAATAATACTAATTTGTACCTTTGCATTACCATAGAGTTTTTGTTAGGACTATTGGTTCCCAAAGTTGGGGTCGGGACCCCAATGTGCCACATAAATCCAAATGGAGGTCCTGAGATGATCTGTGGTAATCAAACTACCGTAATTTTTGACGTATAAGTCACAATTTTTTTTGCATAAATTAGCATGCCTGTGACTTATACAGTGAAGCAACATTTATGTTTTTTCCCCATATTTATAACCCAATTTTTGACAAAGATCTGACGATTTCATTCATTCTGACATGGAAAATATTTTTACTTTATTAGACATATTTGGACTGATGCTACTTATACGGTGGTGCGGCGTGTACAGCAGCAAGTACGGCAAATGTAAAAAATATTCACAATTGCACATTTTAGCTATTTTTGAAAGATAAAAACAGTAAGAAATGAATAAATCACATAATGGTTGTTATGGATGTTTGTGTTGTCACTGTACTATTGTGTCTGCTGATGTTTTATGGGTCAATAGCTCAAACGTTTGCGAATCATTGTGTTTTATAGAAACATAAAAAATAAAAAAAATAAATATTTCCGGCCTACTTTTCGTGCCATGACTGAAAAATATTTAATTTATTCAGCTCTGATTGTTTGTATCCATCTAGATTATGAATTTTTCATTTTCAGATGTAGCTGCACAGTGAACATAAGCAGCAGAGATGACTTTTTAATCTTCAGTCTAAAAAAGAAAAAGAAGTGGGGCTAATGCTTCCTAAACCCATTTGCTCTTAACGAGGGGAAAGAATTACTCACCTTGTGTGTGAAGGGCTTCCCTTCACGGAGAGCTTTTCCAGTCAAGACGTCAAAGAAGAGGATGACTGTTGGGAAGGAAAGAGAGATGATAAAAGCACATGGTTCTTAACGAATGCCGTCAAAGAGGCCTTCTCACCTTTTTCATCGCTCTTGTCTCGGATGGCGAGCGTGTCGTTACTGAGAGAGATGCCCTGAGAGTTTAGGATGTCGGCCCTCATTCCGGGAAACTTTGGGGAGGATATTAATCGACCCTCGTAGGAGAACGTATACAACCCTGATCCGTCCACAAGTAAAAAAAGTCTGCAAGAGGAGGACTCAGTGGAAGAGAGTGGAGTGATGCGGCGCAGTGGATGAGAACGGTAGCGTTGGGAGGAATAACGATGGGCAAAGGGAAAAGTGAAGCAGATAAAATGTTAGGATGTAAAAGAATAAAGAGATAATTAACTGACACGTTCAGGTGATTTATTACGTATCACACATTAATGCAGCATTAACTTACTATAAGCAAGATGTATCGAACTCAGCTGCGATTACAGAATAGCTACTAATCAGTTTAGCTCTTTGCTGAGTGTCAGAGAAGGCACTGGAGAATTGCACAAGAGCTACTCCATATTAATCTAATTTCCCCCAGTGGTTTCACTCTCAGCCTTATTGTATGACAGGGAATAACTAGAGCACACCCTGTGTGTGAGTGTGTGTGTGTGTGTCTGCTGCTTGATGAGTGGCTAGTGAAGAGAAATGGAGCATTAGAGAAGCTGACAGACGATCCAACAGCCTGTTCTATCTCTTGTTGCACAGCTCCCGGAGGTGGACGACTTACTTCTCTGCTTGCAGGATGAGGCTGACCGTTCCCTCCTTCAGATCAAAGATGAGAGGAGTATTCCAGTTTCCTGAGCTGTCGCAGATAAACAGAAAAATCACACTTTTAACTTTTGGGCAGAAAGAAAGAGAAGACTGTTCATAAATAAGATACGGCTATGAACCAGTGATTCACAACCTCGTCGCATCTCAGCATAAAGGGTGCAAGGTTGCAATGAGCAGTGATTGTCTACATGTATTTGAAATATGTGTAAAATAAAAAGACATCATTAAAAGTCCGAATGAAAACTCAAGTACAGTAGTCACTCGCTACTTGCTGGTTCGACTTTCGTGGACTCGCTCTTTCACGGTTTTTCAACGCTTGTCAATTTTAATATTACTCACAAGACTGGGACGTACGGGACAAAAAGTTAACAAAAAAAAGGAACTTCGGACAGGCGCCACCATTTTGTAGTTTTCTCTCAATAAGCCTACACTGTAACACCAAAAAAGAACTACACTATCCAGAAACCAACAATGCTTCCGACTGCTGCTTTTGTCAAAATGGAGGAAAAGTTTTGCAACGCAAAGTCAGAAGTAATGATCTATTTATTAAGCTCACAGAACTGGCAGGAAAGTCATAAATAATCCTGAAGCTCAATTATCCACGTGCACATCAACCTGGATGGGGCGGTGGGCTTCATGGCTGCAGGGTAGGTCTGCAGAAATGGAACCGAGCCAGATCAGAACTGAGCTGCTGTTCTGCAGAGCTGGTGAGTAAAATTTTGCAATACTGTAGAGTAGAGTACATATATGGGTGTTGTTAAAATTATGTAGGTTTAAGAGTTTAGATCAGGGCTATTGAACAAAACTGCTCAGGGGGCCACAGTTACTGAAAGCCAGCAGCTCAGGGGACAGACATCCAGCAATTAAAGTCATTATGTAAATAAACCAAGTTTTACAATGATCTGTTACCTTTCAAATGTGTTTGTTTTATTGCACTGAATCATAAATGCAATAAACAGAATATTGACTATTTGATTTCTAGTTGAAATGGCCAAATCTGAAACATTCCTGCAGCTGTTCGGTCACTTTGTTGTGGCAAAACAAGATGTTTCATAATGGTGAGTTCAGTCAGGAGGAGGCATTTTTCATTTTAAACTTACTGCCTACATCACTCCTGGAAAAAAAAAAAAAAAAAACGAAACAGGAAGTGTCTGTTTTTGCCATTGTTGTTTATTTTGAAATATTTTAAAAACTGGAAACTAGGGTTTCAGGTGAGCTCACCTTTAATGCCACAATATGACCACTTGACCAGGTCACCCTTGTGAAAGAGATCTCGATCTCAACGGGCTCTACCTGGTAAAATAAAGGTGATTGATTGATATGTGGATTCCCCTCCACACTGATTGAGATAAAATGTCAAAAATAAAGATCCCTAATAGCAGAATTACAAGGACACGTGTCTGTATCTGAAGGTAGCGGTCATCTTGGATTTTAAAAGGAACCCGTCTTACGTATGCAGCTACACACTAGAATGAAAGTCAGAACTTTACTTATTTTTCAAGTTATCACGTTCACAACATTCATGGATGGACAAATGGGCGGACGGAAGAAAGGACGGAGGGGATTTCCAATTTCTCCTTTTCACTCCACGATGGGGTACAAAAAGTCTGATCTTTTGCTTTAAATCCAGTTTTACTTACATTTACAACATTTTTCGCCCTATAAGTCACGTATTTTTGCAAAATTTGCGTGCCCTGCGACTTATACGCTGAAGCGACGTAATTATGAATTTTTCCCATATTTATAAACCAATTTTGGGCTGAGACATGACCATTTACCTTAATTCTGACTGAAAATAACACTACCATTTTCAGCTGCTAGATGTCACTCGAGTAGTATGGCATGCCGTTGTGTCCTGTAATAGGTAAAAGTGGCTATTAATGACACAATCGGCTTGCTACAGCCTGCCACCTTCGTTCTGCTCGCTTGGAGCATTTTGCTGCGCCGCCCCGGAATAATGCAGCTAATTTAACCATTGAAGTGCATTTATTAAGTAAAAGTTCAACTGAGATACACCTTTACTATAAAGTCGAGCAAACAAATAATCGTTTTAGATGCTTATCTTGTTAAATTTTGAAGAAATGCGCAGCGTTCCTCCTTCCTAATTTCCTCCCAGTCTGTGTGCTCCCGGAGCACCGAGGCCGTGAATACTTTTGAAATACAGCTGATTTGACCGTTAAAGTCCTTTTACTGGGCAGCACGGTGGCACAACTGGTAGAGTTGCTGCCTCTCAGCGAGCAGGTCCCTGGTTCAAAGCCCGGTCCGGGGGCATTTCTGGGTGGAGTTTGCATGTTCTCTCTGTGCATGCGTGGGTTTTCTCCGGGTACTCCGGTTTCCTCCCACAGACCAAAAACATGCATGTTAGGCTGATTGGTAACTCTAAATTGTCCCTAGGTGTGAGTGAGAGAGTGAATGGTTGTTTGTCTCATTTGTCTCTATGTGTCCCTGTGATGGACTGGAGACCTGTCCAGGGTGTCCCCCGCCCCTCGCACAGTGATTGCTGGACATGAGCACGGTGGCCCCCGTGACCCAAAATGGAAAAAGCGGGTAAAAGATAATGGATGGATGGATGGAAGTCCTTTTATTAAGAAAAGTTAGACTGAGACACACCTTTACTATAAAGTCAAGCAAACAAATAATTGTTTTTAGGTGTTCATCTTGTTAAATTTCGAAGAAATGTACAGCGACTCGTCCCTCTGTGCGTGCACGCTTCTGCAAATCAGCTTTTGAAATGCAGCTGATTTGACCGTCAAAGTGCATTTATTAAGTAAACGTTAGACTGAGACACACCTTTACTATAATTTCGAGCAAACAAATAATTGTTTTTAAGTGTTAAACTTGTTCAATTCTTGTTAAGTCCTCCAGTGCACACTCCCGGGCAGCCAATCGATTTTTGGCACAACGGCCCACATTTTCGGGTTGTCAGCGGCGATGTATAATAGATGCGACGTATACGGCAAAGCGACGTATTTATGGATTTTTCCACTTTATTAGACATATTTGGACTGATGCGACTTATAGGGCGGTGCAACGTGTACAGTGCAAAATACGGTACACATTTTTATGAAATAAATCGCTCGCCTTTAGCGGATTTAGGAAAATGAAGGCGTAAAGATTTGAACTCTCAAAAAACAAGTAATCAGATTGACCTCTGCCATTCGGCTTTATGAACCTATGTGTCAAGAGATTTTGGCTCTGTCACAATAAATACAAACATTTGCAGTGGTGTAAATAGCAAGAAAAAAAATAGAGAAGCCCTGCTGAATGCAATAAAAGCCTGAGGAAGTATCAATAAAAAATGGGGAGATAAATCTACTTATGGAGCATGAAAATATCAGTGACAGACAAGGACAAATAACAATCATTAAAGAGGAAAAGCGCTGCGACAATCTTTGAACAGATGATCATTTTGCTCTGTAGTTCTCTGTGACAAATGCAGCTGGTTTTCTGTGTGATGAATCCAGCAATGTAATGTAAAAATTATTGCATCATATTTCACAGAGCTTTAAAACACACTGACATTATGCAGACCAACATTGTGATTTAGTTTGTTTTCCTATAGCATCCTTCTTTGGTAAGATTTTAGCTGCACACTTTGAGTTTTTCAAGCCGAATGGCAGAAAAGCTCATCTTGCTGCAGGTCCTGGTAGCAAAAATAAGCAACAATCATGAATTAGCACAAAACCTAGAAACTGTGACTCTATCAGATGAAAAACTACTAGACAAGTACAAACAAGATGAGAAGCTAAAAAAAGAGGAGCAACGAAAAATCACTGACTTGTAAACGTAACACTGGAGGGAAGTGGCAACCACCAGGTGATCGAATGCAAGAGACGCTTTGATGACGCGATCTCTAAACTCCAAAATGTCAACCGCATCATTCAACACATTCCTCACCTGTGAAGAAGAACAAGAAAAAAAAAAGAAGAACAAGGCCGAAAGATGATGCAAAAGAGGGATATTATTGTTTGATATTATAGAGATTCCCTAAGCAGGGATAAACTTTACTCTAAATATTAATTTTATAGTTGAAAGAGAGCAAGTGCACATATTCTTTATTTTAAACCAGCATAGAAAAATATTTCTCTCTAACTGTGTAAATGACTGAAGGGGCTTTTTCAAGCATCAGGTGAAAGGTGGAGTTATTTTTACCGCTTTACAAATCTTCCTCCCTTGCAGCAATCTAAATTTACATGCAACACAACCAGGAGTAAATAACATTTGACCGCGAGGTGGTAATTTTGGCCGGCTGATTTACAAACTACTGGCAGATGTGCACTTTTATAACGGATGGTGAGGAGGGGAGAGGGAGGGAGACTGAAAACGTGCCAGCGAGGCTGGAAATAAACGGCCGATGACCGAACATTGTTTGGTTTTAAACAAACTGCACTTGTTGATAGCAGATGTGTGCACATGTGTGCTGGTGCATGTGTGTGACCTTGTTTCAGATGGTGTGTGTGTCTGTGTGTACACTTGGGTGTGTTAACTGCATGTAAACGCTACCTTGTGGTTTATTGTGAGTTTAAACAGTAGGGAGTGGAGGAGCAAGGACGGCAGCTACACAGGCTGACCATTGTCATCAAAGGGGTGCACAATGGTGCTCTGAGAGGGTCGCGCTATATTAATAAATGGCCACAACTTCTAAAAACTAGGCGTCGGCTTCTCAAGACGTCCTTAAAGCAATAGCTTAAACTTCCTGAAGTGGGGTTTTGTGGGAAAGTTACAAACAAATAACCTGATCTGTTGTAGCTATTTGAACAGCCACAGTTTGGAGAAATGGTTCATTTCTGACTGGATTGATGAGCCAACTACTAGTCTGAGAGAGACCCGACCCAAGGCTATTGCTGCCATCTTCACTCCAACATCGAAAAGTTCATAGTGGTTTATGCAAACTTTGTTTTAAAAACATTTACAAAGCTGTTAATTTTGCATTACAGTAGTCTCTCGCTACTTTGCGGTTTGAATTTCACAGACTCGCTCTTTCGTGATTTTTCAACGTAAGATTGTACATGAAGCACGATGGTCAACTTTAATATTACTCATGAGATTGGGATGGGACAGGATAAAAAGTTGACGAAAAAAACTTTGGACAGGTGTCGCCATTTTGTAGTTTTCTTTCAATAAACCTATACTGTAACACCAGTCAAAAGAACTACACTACCCAGAAAACAACAGTGCTTCCGGCCACTTCTTTCGGCTGAAACGGAGGGATAGTTTTGCAATGCAAAGTCAGAAGTAATGATCTATCTGTTAAGCTCACAGAACTGGCAGAAAAGCCTCAAATAATCCTGAAGCTCAATTACCCACGCACACATCAACCTGGATGGGGCGGTGGGCTTCGTCGCTGCAGGGTAGGTCTGCAGAACCGGAACCGAGCCTGACCGGAACCGAGCTGCTGTTCTGCAGAACTGGTGAGCAACATTTCGCAGTACTGTACAGTACATATACGTATGTTGTTAAAATTACATACGTATGTTGCTAAAATTACATAGGTTTAAGAGTTTAGAACATTGCAAGAGTGTGGGAAGGGTTTATAAAGCCTTAAAAAATCAATAAATACTAAAATAAATATAGCGTTCCTATTTCGTGGTTTTGCACCTATCGCGATGGTGTGTGGAACGTAACCCCCGCGGTAATTGAGGGGCTACTGTATACTTTAATTTTAATGAGATTATGGGCTTATATGTAAGTGAAGTGCTAAAAGCAGCAGCTAACTGTAGCACTTCTGGTGGAAATCTTTAATGGAATACCCGTGCACTGAAAAATTGGTATAAAGGTTGATAAAGTAATGTGCGTGTGAGCTATTATAAGGATTTAATGACAGAAAGCAGAACCACTTTTACCATCTTGTTTCTTGTATATAAAGCTGCACACCTCAGTACATAAGAGACATGACAACTCATACACCAGATCATTGTGACCATTTAATCAGACCTCATCCTTTTTCTACATCATCAGAAGCTAACTTTTGTACCTGTGCTCTAATGAAATTGAATGCAATAAAGACATCACTGATAATATCTTTAAGAAAAAGTTCAAACTGCTCCTACTTGTGAAAGTTTATGATTATTGTTTTTATTCACTTATGCATTCTGTATTAGCACTTTTAGAATTCTGTATGTACAGCTATGTATGTACATTCAAATTTACTGTTTTATATTTTTTCTGGTTGGGGTTCTTGGAAAACATGTTGTGTTGCTTTATGTGTAAAATCTACAATAAGTTAATCTCAGCCCCACTCAGGCTAACTGCGAATTCATCAGTCCAGTAAGAATTAAACACTACCCTCTCCAAACAGAGGTAACTCAAAGAGCCATCTAACACAGGTAATAAATTAGTTGTTCACAAGCTTTCCATAGAACCATCCTTCAAAATATTTTAACAGTTTCTCTAAATTTGGCCTTTAGGTTCCTGTGATACAATACAACACTGTTAATTTATACAAAACTCACGTGTGCCAAATAAGATGGCTCTTTTTTGTTTCATCCCATGAATATTTTTTATTGGTACTATTTATAATGGCTGTCCATAATACATTCTAACTCCTATTGAAAAACGAGTTTGTTTTACCCAACAGAAAATGAACAAATTAATTAAAAAGACTTGAGTAACTAAAAGACCAAAGTTGAATTTTTTTTTAAAGACAAAGGGAGCAACAAACTAAATTAGGGTGTTTCCAGCTCTTTGTCTTTACCTCCATGGTTCTTCTCTTGGTAAGAGTGATGACAAAGTTCTTCCACTCCCAGTGCTGCTCCACCACATGGGCAAAGATGACATGTCCATTTCCGCAGGCCCCGGCCAGCTGGGTGCCGTCCGCCGACCAGGCCAAGCTGAACACGCTGCCTGTGTTTGGTTTCTCCAGCGCATAGGACCACTGGAGACAGAAATGAGATAAAGGGATGGGCAAAACCGCGATTAGTACAGTTAAAGACAGGGGATACTAAAACACAATCAAGACATGTGAGCTTGTATACATTTGTTTCTGGGTACAATATATGACCGTAAGATTATATCAGTTAGTCATTGAGTTGTGATCAACAATCAAAGGGGAAACTGCTTATGATCGCTTCACTATTAACGGAGTAAATATTTATTGTACCACTGAAGACTTTTGACAATTCAAGGTGTAGAAAACATCAGTGAGACTCCTAAAGTGTATGAAACTGGAACATGGAGGTGGGGGTGGGACTGTTGTCATGCAGGTAGAGTTACTGGTTTACAAAAATGTTTGGTATGGTGTGTAAGTGACATAAATCGAAAAGGATGCTGCATTTCCCAGTAAAACAAAAAGCTACTACACAAGTCATATCTCTGTCAAAGAAAATGTTTAAGAAAGGCAGAATAAAATATAGGCAAAAAGAGAAAAAAAACATACAAAATGACTCTACTTGACAAGCAATACACATACAGCTCCATATTTACCAGAAATCCCTTTTCTTTTTATATTTCTAGCTTTCTTATCCTCTGTAACCCCCAAGATACCACAGCCCAACTAGTTTTTTTTCTTTCTGGCTGCTCCCTGTGTTAGGGGTCGCCACAGAGAACTAAGTCTCACGAATACCACAGCCCAGCTAATAAAGCACACTAATTGTTTTCACTTACAAATATGATTTGCTGTTGCCCACTTAACATCTTACTCCTAGAAGCACAGCAAATGAAAGTGGCTGGCTGATATGAGTTTAGATTGAAATTTCTCAGCCGAGATCTTCAACACAAATGGCTGCATTCACACTGTAAACTGCTTATGAGGGGAGAAAAGTTCTAATGTCAACCTTGGTCTGCCGACTCACTTGCAAGGGTGAGACAAGTGTGGCACAGCTGGCCAAGAGCTGCGGTGAACCTAGGAGCAAAAGGCTGTGTGTTTGTTGCCCTGTGCACATGCACATGCTCCTCACTGCCTCTGACAGGGCTGGAGGTACCAGTCAGCAGAGTGCAGGTTACAGCCCCGATGCTTTGATCTCGTTCCCTCTCCAGGTCCTCCTGTGTGCCTCAAACACACGCCACTCAGCTGGTTTTGGTCAGCTCTCTTTCAGCAGTTAATGCCATATCATAAATTAGCTGCAGGAAAAAATGACACCTCTCTTGTAGAAGGGACATAGTGTTAAAGTTAAAACTACGATCTAAACTTAGCACAAAAGTAAGGAAATATGAATTTAGTTGATTCATTTGTTTTTTGTGACAAGACTTCTTTGCTATGAATCTTATGTTAAAACCTATTTACTCTTAAACGGTGCCACATTTGTTAGAAAAATGTATTTGTGGGTTGAGCAGCAGAGTTAAGTATGTGGGTTGTGCTCATGAAAAAAACTTGCCAAATCTTCTCTGCCAAGGCCAAACAGTTTATTCTGCTAGTAACCCTGTTTTTTGTTGTTGTTGTTGTTTGTTTGTTTGTTTGTTTTATTTACTGGATAGGATGATTAATGTCTGAAGAAAATAGACAAATTAGCAACTAACAATGTATTCATTTAACAAGCAGTATTCTTGTTAGTATGTGGAAGGACCATACACAGCCACAACAGCCTCTTTCTCATGCTGCTCACCAGCTTGGTCACACACTGCTGTGGGATGGCATCTCATTCTTTAACCTGTTGTATGTCAGTCAATGTGGTTATGTTAGTTACTCTAAAACAAAGAGCCTGCTTCAGCTGATCCTTCAGGTTTTCAATGGGGTTGAGGTCAGGGCTCCATCCTCTCCACTTCCAAAATCAGGTGGTAGTCTGATAAACCCCACCCCGTGGGGTCAAGCATTGTCATCCAGAAGAGTTTGGTCTGACTGTAGAGATAGTATTGGATTGTCACTGGTTGCTCATAGGTGCTGGTAACCAGATGCCAATCAGGCCCCAGATTATCAGCACCTGAGGTACCAGAAGCTCAAAACAAGTCAATAAAAGTATGATACATCTGACCTTGGCAGACAACATTTGGTAAGATTTTCATGGGTGCATCCCACATACTAAACTCTGCTGCTCAAACCACAAATGCATTTTCTTTATAAATGTGGCATCATTTAAGGGAAAATAATCAGGATTTGCAACAATAAGATTTATTGCCTCTCTTCCTCCCATTTTAGTTATGTAACCTTCCATATACTAGCTAAAAGAAAAACTTTATTCTTCTTATAAATGTATTTTTCATATTAACGTTCCATCCTATTTATCTAACTTGAGTGAAGGTGTGCTTATACAAACTCGGCTGCCGAGCAGCTTGGACCAGCATTTACCATAACAAGAGAGCTCATTTATTCTTCTGCTAACATCTTGAGATGGCCTGCTCCATGTTAAAGCACCCCAGGGAGAAAAGAGAAGCAGTGGAGTGAGAGGGATGGATAGGTGGAGGGTCAGAGATGCCGCTGAATGTATACACCAGACTGTAATGAAGCAAGACATATGATATTGGGCTGTGGAGCACTGCTGGAGCTGTGCTTACCTAATGCTTTTAACACATTGAGCCATTTGACACTTTCTAAAGCCAGCAAGTGAGAAAGTGTGTGTGTGTGAAGGGCTCTTTATGAGTGTGTACCACATAGACGTGTGCATGTGAGACAAAAAGCATATAAAATGTTTATATAAAATATGCAGTGCATTTTGAAAAATGCAGCAAAGTAGGAGAATATATTACGAGGATTTATATATGTGTGTAAAAGGGGGAAAAAAAAGTTCAGATTTCCCAAGAAAAATGTCCAAAGTCAGTTTTTGAGCTGCATGTCTGTGTAAAAGAGGTGAAAATCCTCTGGATTGTCAGTTGTCAGCCACTGTTTGACTTTACGACAAAAAGAGAGGACAGTGTGGAGGGTGTACTTGACAGAAATAAACTTTCTGGATATTAACAACTAACGAACACAAAATAAACCTTTCCAGTGCAGAATTCTGTTGGTTATGCATCTTCGTTCCATCCTTTAATTATTTTGATATACTGAAACACAGCTGACCAAACAGCCAGGATAAACGGCATCAAGAAGTTGTAAACAAGAACCATATGCGTCAATCCCTTATTTTTTTGGTTCTAATACAATTCTGATTTTTGAATTTGAATGTCTACTACCGGTAATTTTAATTAAATTCAATTCAGTTTATTTATATAGCGTCAAGTCACAATAGAAGTCATCTCAGGGCACTGAACAGAAACATTCATATATAAAATAAGTCAACAGAAACATTCATATTTAAAAATAATAATTTAACATTATTTATCTGAGGAGCAGACTGCTTTGAGTTTAACTCCATCGCAGAACTCTCATCTTGAGCAAGCATGAAGGCGACAGTGGAAAGGAAAAACTCCCTTGTGAGGAAGAAACCTTTAGCAGAACCAATCAATCAACCTTTATTTATACAGGTAAATCCCATTGAGCCTCGAGGACTCATTTACAAGAGAGACCTGATTTCAACAAAGAAAGATGACAACAATGGACAACAGCAACAACAATAAGCAGTTATAAAAACTCGTACTACAGTTTTTTTTTTT